GGGGAAAAGCTCACACCCCCGATGGTCCGTGCGGAAATTAAGTACTCTATTAAGCAGACGCTGCCCACGGACTGGTTGCTTAAAGTGGTCAACAAAGGCTTCTCGGCGAAGGCTCTTTAAAGGTTCCACATGCATTGGGGAATTTGGGCCCAGTTTACGGGTCTGGTTGCAATGTCTGCCGAGTCTGGCTGTGCCCCTGAGCTGAAATTTTCAACCTTGTTCCTACAGGTTTTCCTACGCTTCATTATTCGCCTGTGTGTCTCCCACGGCTATGTGTCCGACTCTTGTGTTTTCTTTTTGTGCATACCAGTATGATGCGGTCCAGTTTTCGGGCTTGACCGGTGATGTCTCGCCTTCAAACAGGATCGCGGAACTTCTTTATTTCGTAAGGGACGCCAGGCCCGATTCCTGGCTCTGCAATATAAGGGACGTCGGACCCAGTTCGTCAAAAAAAAAAAAAAAAATGTATACAACCCAGCTTTCTGGCCAGGTAGGGTGCCTGAACTGCAATTGCAAACCGTATCTTGCCCCATAGTGCAATTATAACTCAATTTTGTGACTCCCGCGTAGTTTCCCCCTCTTTGTTTCTTTCTGTCTGTCTTTCTTTCTTTGCGTTTCTGAGTTCCTCTTATATTTGGAGGGGGAAAAAAAACGACACCTTCTTCAGAATAGGCAACTTTTTGACTAAAAAAAAGTCGGGCCCCCTGGATCACCTTGTTTACCCGGGCGGCCCGGCCGTGCAAGGGCCAAAGAAGTTCCCAGCAAAAAAACAAAACAAAAAAAATATTTAAAAAATCTGGAAAAAACCTATGTTATGCAGAAAAATAAACTGAACAACTTTGCCTCAGGGTCTAATCGAAATTCCTTACCAAAAATGCTAATCGCGTTAGCGCAGCGGTAACGCTGCGCTAGCGCATCACTATTACAATGTGCGGGCAGTGGGGGATCGCACGGGGGCAACTGTGGATAAACTGCGCTTAGCCAGAACTTGCTGTTGGGTATGGCGGAGGAGGAGAGGTGATAGAGCGTGTGGGCGTTGAGGTGGAGGCCGCTTCGAGGGGGCACAACCATGCACCTGCCATAACCTAATCTTAGCCGATGAAAGTTGGTAATCCTAGATGGGCCGCAGAAGGAAGGAGAGAGATGTGAGGTCGGTCATTGGGCAGGATCTGCGCATCGTACATATAAGTATTACTACCTGATCACTGACAGCTGAGGAGCTTTGCCCGCTGATTATAGATACGGAGAACGAATGTGTTGTTGGAGTGGATACAGTTTTATCTGGATGAAGAGCTCCAGATGAAAGATGTGAGTACATACTACATCGATAAACGTCGACTTCCGGGATATGGATGACGGACTTCATGCCGTGATCGGTATCGTCCACCGTCGCTGACAACGGACTTCAAGCTGTGAGCGGGGTTGTCCACTGTTGCCTTTACTCCTACTTCGGGCGGGGTGTTGCTTAAGACTTCCCGATTTCTGGTGCCCTGACAGTTATTGACTGTGTTTCCTTAAATTGCAAGCGTTGCGAGTATAGATGATTGTGTTTTCCTAGATTCTAATCGTTAGGACAAGTCTTGTTAGCATTTGTGATTGGTATTTTGTGAACTGCCAATTCGACAAGGGTTTTCATAATTCTAATTAGGTGTCCATTTTGTTAGTGTTTTCAAGATGATTTTCTCAGTGTTACTTCGTTGGATTACGTTCCCTGTCGGTTTTGCCAATGGGTTGGGTAATTCCATGACATCATTGACTATCCGTGGGTAAGACACTATTGATTTTTTGCGTTCTTGTTGGTAGTGGGTAAGCAGGATGAAACCATTCAATGTTTTGTTTACGTGTTGGTTGGTGGTCTGTTATCTAGCTTGGATTTCGCTAGATTAGGGTTGTTTCATAATGGTGATTTGGAGAAAGGGGTAGATTAGGATTTGAGTCTTGTTAAATTCGGGAACGTGAATTTTGTTTTAGGGCTGGGATTGGGATCATAGGTTTTTTAACCTTGGTTGGTGGAGATTAGGGTTTTTTGATAATGGTGGTTTGGAGAGGGGGTAGACTAGGATTTGACTTTTGTTAAATTAGTGAACGTGAATTTTGCTTTAGGGTTGGGATTGGGATCATTGGTTTTCGTAACCTTGTGAGGCTGTGGTGGGGATAAGTTTGGCCGGGAGCGCCTTACTTAGCCCGTTTGACCGCAGCAAATGATGTAAGGGACACCGGGCCCGTTTCCCAGATATATGGGGGAAAAAAAAAAAATCCTTACCAAAATTTTTTAAAAAAATTGAAGTTGAAAAACTTTTTTGTTCTTTTGTTTCTCAGTGTTTTGGCCCTGAGGCAAACGTTATTCAGTTTATTTTTCTGCATAACGTAGTGTTTTTTCGGATTTTTTTTTCTTTTGAGTTCTTTTTATTGGCTGGGACCTTCCCTGGTCCTTGCACGGCCGGGCCGCCTGGGAAAATAGGGTGACCCGGGTGGCCCGGCTGGTAGCCTAGGAACAAACACCAAAAAAAAAATTCACACCCGACCAACGTTCAGAAACGGCAATTTGAGCAGTTCCCAAAATGAAGCAAAAAAGGCGACCCCCTAAATCTGCCAAGCGCCACTGTGGCTAATGATTGGCGCACTTTTAGACCCTGGGCCCGCTAAATAAAAACTTGCACATTTCGGAACTCACATCATGACATCGGCGCCACTTTGTCTTTTATTGCCTATTTCAAAAGAAAAGTGCACCACAGCCAGAGTTTCCCCTAATTAAAAAACTAAAAAAGTTAAAACTTAAAAGTTAAAAGTCAACAAAAATCAAGAAGGAATGCTCATTCTGTGATTACAAACCGCAAAAGTACTTCATGGGTTCGTCCCAGAAAAGAAAGGAAAAAAAAAAAAAAAAACCAGGGCACCAGAAAAGAAGAAGAAGAAAAAAGACGTCGGGCAGTCGACAGTGCCACGTGACAAGGTACAAGAAGAAAACGCCGCATCATCATCGATACGTGCCTCCCAGACATGTATGTTCACATGAGTAAGCTGCATACAAAGCCATCCATTAGGAAAAGTCCACGTGAGGAGATAGTAAGACATAATTTTTTTACTAAAAAAAAAAAAAAGGGCATAAATTGTCTTTGCTAACATTTTGCTGATGCTGCTGCTGACTCAGACATCACCGTGTGAGGAGATTCACATCTGTTTTTTGTTCTTTCTTTTGCCTCAAGTAAAATCACATGTAATGTGAGGCATTTTGTAAGAAATGAACACTTTCAAATTTCAATGGTAATGGAAACAATGTTTTGGATTCACTCAAAACAAGGTCTGCAGAAATCAGATTTCTAATTTTTTTTTTTTTTTTGTGGTGGTGGGGGGGGGGGGGGGGGGAATATGTGACCGTAGTCCTAATGACGAGTCCTAAAAGAAAAAAATTAATGTGAAAGACATCTCTAGGAGTACCACTAGGAACTCTGGGACAACACAGCCATTTCTTCAAAATCTCTCTACGCACCTGGTGAGGACACTAGAGATTGACGTGGCGACAGTCCTCCAAACTGTGAGAAGACTAGAGATTCTTTTTTTTCTTTTTTTTTTTTAATTGCCAAAATTGGACCATTTCTCGATTTATGTGTGTCATCCTTTTCGTGCAGGGGCCATGCTAATCTTCTTTCTCGGTATCGCTCCAATTTTAACGGATGTCCCTCCGAAGGACAGAGGAGACTAGAGATTCTATGACAGAGTTTGGTGGAGATTCGTCGAAAGATTCAAAACTGAATACATGGCGGAGCCGGATTGGCTGAAACAAAGACTGTTTTGTTTTGTTTGTTTGTTTGTTTTTCAAGAATTTCCTTAAAATGCCACGAATCTGGCCCTCCGTCCCTCACAAAAATTATGTGGTCCAGTTTAAGCCACCAGTACCTCCTAAAGGTGCTCCGCGTTAACGGGTGTGGCTTTTGGGATGAACGGGCCCGGCCCAATTCAACCTAAGTGGAAATGGCGCGATTTCCACTTTTGGCTGGCCGTTAACATGGAGCGCTTTTAGGAGGTACAGGTGGTTTAAGGGCGATACATCATCGGTCAAGCGGCTCAAGCCCAAATTGCATTACAAATGCCAAACTGCCTTCTGACTCTTCTTTAAACAAAATAAAGAAGGGAAACCGGGCTTGGATAAACTGCTCACCAAAGTCACCAAAGTCCTTGTAGGACAGTCCCAGAGTTTCTAGGGTTTTCTAGATGTGTCTAGCGAGAGTCACGAGACCCTATAATCCCTCAGTTTATAATAAATTTTCATGGACTTTGAAGTTCAAAATTTCATAATATTTCATTTTGTTGAGCGTATCAAAGCCTTGGGGCCTGATCCGGCACTGCGTACGATAAGCAAAATCGTTAAAGAAACAAAAAAAAAGGCGGCGCATCGGACAGGCCGTAAAAGAGAAATGTGATCCCACCGTTCCCGTAGACCAGGAAGTTTAACGAGGGCGGCGGCGGGAATTTCTTTGGGCGGCCTATGGCCGTGGTGGGAAAAGGGGCAAAAAAAAAGTTTTTTTTTTCTTTTTTTTTTTTTTTTTTTTGAAACAACACGCCCCCACCAGTGTTAGTGGTGCTGATAAGAGCAGACACCACTAACACCTGGGGAGGCTCCATCTATTGGTGAGGAGCATCACCTGCTGGGAAACGGGCCCAGCGTCCCATATACAGCAGCATGTCAGAAAAAGAACCGTTGTGGGAGAGTCCTGCCAGCATTGATTACCCTGGCATCAGGGGATTGACTGAGCAGGAGGTAGGGGAGGGGGAACCTCTTCACCATGGAACCTGCGCCATATACCTACTGTAACTCACTAGTTCCTCCCTCCCCCCACCCAATCTGAACTGTCACTTCCAAAGTACTGTGCTAACTGCTATCAGTCTGGATGTTTTCACCTCAGAAGACCAGCCCTGTATCCGCACCATATTGGACCCCTACAGTACTTTTTGAAGTCTGCGTCCTGAGCCTTTGTTTTCATCCATCCCTCCCGTACCATTCTAAGTCTACTAGGCTATTTGAAGGGGAGGGGAAGAGGTCAGGGAACTCTTGGGCGGGTTTCATTGGGATAGCTGTATCAATCTTTGTCCAGTCATTGAATAATAGCCGGTAGTCCCTTTCCCCGGTGTTCTGTCCTCCTTTCCATTCCACTCTCCCAATCCTTCCCCCTGTGTCCCCCCCCAGCCAGCTCGAGCTGAAATTCTGAATTTTATGATGTCACTTCTTAAGAGTGATGTCTGTATCTGGGTTTTGAATGCTTCCCATTTCGCAGTGATTTCTATTTGGATCTGTTGTTGAATACTGTCCGTGAAGTCCGGGCCTTCTAGTCTTACCCGTTCCATCTCGTAGGTACAGCGCCGTCTCCAGAGGGCCCAAAGCATTGCCCTGCGTCCTAATTGAAACATATGAATGGTGAAGTCGTCCAGTCCATCTTTGGTCCATGTTTCGCAGAGCAGGGCTTTCCAATCCCATGGCCATGTGGTTTGCGTTTCTAATTGGTCCCAGATTTTGTCCCACCATCTCCATAACCAAATTGCACCCGGGCACTGAAGGAATATATGCTCAATGGTCTCGGGCCTTTTCCGGGATGGAAACGCGTCAGTGCACAGTCTGCACCAGGGCAGGGCTTTCCCCATTTGCTCCAGACGAGTTGTGTCTATGAGCCAGTCATTGGTCGGGAGGCAACGGTGCTCTATCTGCCATTGCAGCAAGGCAAATTTTGCAGGTTTGATTTTTACCAATTTAAACCATTTCATTCTTTTCAGGTCGTTTTTGCTTACATTCAAATGCCTCATCCAACGCTCCTCCACCTGATCTCGCAAGTTGAAACTCGGTCTAAGAAGCCTATAGGTCTCCTTGACTGTAAGGCCGTATAAGGATTTTGTAAATTTCCTCCCCTTCCTTGTAGTTGTTGACCATGTCCATTCTGCTGGGTCCAGGGCCAGTAGGTGGCCAGGGACATGCGGGAGGTAGGCGATCGATTGTTCTTTCTCTTGAAGCACCCTAATTCGGAACAACTCTTCTTTGTGGTATACTTTTGCTTCCTCTGGTTCTGATTTTTGAATCTCGTTTTTCCATTTCACCTGATAGAGATTCGTCTTCACTGTCTCGTTAGTAACATGTTGTGTGATCTTACTTACCACCCCAGGACAATCCCTGATTGCCACCCAGTCCGATTCCTGCAGTGCGGGACCTTTCCTGAGAATCCTCCACCAGTCAAGGGGAATCTTTTCTATTAGGGCCTCAAGGGTCTCCTCCGATCTGTGACAGTAGCGTAGTTTCTCTCTTAGCTGCCCCGGGTTGACCCACTCTCTATTGTCCATGCCCCATATGTCTTTCATCCTACTTACCCCCCTCTTAACCCAACTCCGCCACGGGGCGTCGCCGCAATGGAGGGTCTGTCCCTTTGAGTCCACCACCCATCTGTTCTCGAAGAGGGGCTGCCGGGCTACCTCTTCCCATCTTACTGGTGGGGTTTTGTCCGGTAGGGGGAGACTCCTCCATGTGCTCAGCAGGGCAGGCCAGAAGGGATAGTTCGGCAGGTCCTCCCTTGCTATCTGTCTAGGAGAGCTTGGGAGGAGGGTATCTTGATGTGACCTTTTTTGGGGGATGGACCATCCTCTGTTCTCTAGCCACATCAATGGGTCACATTCTGCGACTGTTTGTGGTGCCAGGCGGGTAATCTGTTCCAAGGCCAACCCCTTCCAGGGGGTTGCTGGGCTGAAACAAAGCCTTTTGAGCCACTGCATTGCCAATGCTTTGGTTTGGAGTGAGGGGTCTATAATGCCCAACCCTCCTCTCGGTTTTGGTTGGATTACAGATTGCCATGCTACCCTGCTAATGACACCCTGATACTCGTGGTTTCCTCGCCACAGAAAGGCGACAATCTGGCGTTGCAAGGGACGGAGGGCACTCTTATCTAAAGCCCAAATGGCTGATTTATATCACAGAGTGGCCAAAACGACATTGTTAATAATTAGCGAGCGACCAAATAGGGACGTGTGTTTATCCTGCCATTGTGCCATTTTTTCCAATGGGGGCTTGGAGATCTATTCATTGTTTGCAGATGGTTTGCCGTTCGCCGACATCATAACCACTAACACCGTGATGGGGGCTTCCTGGGGGAGCCATTTGATCTTGGGTTGATCCGGGGGTCTCACTCCTTGGTGGTGTATCCACCAACCTTGGGTCTTGTTTCCCCACCCAATCAAACACACACACTCACTTGCGTGGGGTTTGAAAACTGCTTTTTTTCGAATTTTTTTTACCTTTTTATTTATTTATTGATTTATTGATTGATTGATTGGTGGGGGATGGATCGCCCCCCCTGCC